AGAGCCAATGGAGTCTCCACGTGTGAGTCTGTCCCGCGGCCTCGGCCTCCCTAGGATACCCTGTCTCCTTGTTCGCAGAGGGAGTTTTGACTGTGAGTCTCTATTTGGACATTTTGAGACTTGAGTTGAAGGTGAGTCTCTCTAGTCAACATTTGTCTTGCTGCTGCTAGGTGCCTGGGGCACTCACTGGACACCACCTCAAAGGGGCCTCTTAGCTTTGGGATTTTTCCAGTCACCCGAGTTGTGTGAATATGGGGTTTAAACCCACGAGGAGGCTGTCTTATCATATGAGATCGACAGCAGAGCTTTCCCCTCTTCACTCCGCGGTAAGATCTGAGTTTGTTTCCAGTTCGCCCTCGTGTTGAGGGGGGAATCTGCGATCTCAGCTCTGTCCCCGACTGTCACCTGGACACATTCTGGGCTTGAAACCCTGCACGGGCACTCACTGGAGTGTGAGAGTGGACGAGTCAGCTCACCTGGTCTGGCAGATGCCCTCAGGGGGACAGCAGTCTTCCTTCCCTGTTCAGGTGTCCCTCGGCTTTTGACTTTTAACTATTTCTTACCTGCTAATCAGAATGCTGATACACTTACATAGAGATTTTTCATACTTTGATGCTTTAGTCTGCACTTTCGGTTTTCATTAGTGTAGGGTGAGGTGGCATAGAGAGAGACATAGAGAGACAGAAGGTGAGAAATCTCGCACCCTGGGAAAGTGTCCACAGTATTAGACAGTTACAGGAAGACCTACAGAGAAGGACCAAGCGTGGGGGGTGCATGGAGCTTAGGAGTTGGACTCAAAATCTGAACCTGAAGTGAGCTTATTTAAAAAATGTGTCGCTCTACAGCCCAGCTAAAAGCAGACAGTTAGACATGAGTACAGGAGCCCAGGCTGATCTTAAAACACAGCCTTGAGTAAAAGCAAAGTGAGAAGACGACCAGATGCCCGGTCACGGCCAAGCACGGAAGTGACACCGTGCGTGGGTAAGGCGTGTACCTCTCCCCGTGAGCAGGCCCGCCCGGGTGAGTGTCTCTGAGAGGAACAGGGAGAAGAGAACGTTTCATCCCATGTCTGAGCTAGGGATTCCTGTACAAGTGACAAGGGACAGGGAGGGCAGGCTTCCGGGAGGCAGTAGAGCTGTGGTCCCACAGGCCTGGCCTCAACCCGGCCCGCAGACAGCCCTGGTCTGAGAATGGCACCACCCGGGCCCGGCCCAGAGTGAAGGGCTGTGCAGTCCACCTGCTCTCCCTGGGCTGTGCAGACGCCCCCAGGCTTCTCTGGGCAAGGCTGGCTCCCACCAGCCAAGGGCGGTCCTCCTGAGAAGGGGTCTCTGTGTCAGCCCAGAGCTGGCAGGGTGTGGGTGTACAGCCCATGGAGGCCACTTGGACAGGCCTGCAGCATCCACGCCCCTCCAGGGGCCCCGTCTGCCTCTGTGCTGGCCAGATCCACCTGACCCTGGAGGATGTTCTCAGCTATTCTTTGGGAGGAACTGCACAGAGAACGTTCTGGATAACCCAGCAGAGAAAGGAACAGAGCCTGCCCGTAACAGAATAAAATCTCACCTCGAAGACAACACCAACGTCCACTTGGGCTCTCCCAGGGAGGGGGATCCCAGTTCTACCTTGATAGCTCTGCATTCGGGCTGGACCCTCCCACGTCTTCCGGTGAGAATGTTTTGTTCAGGGGAGTCCCTACTTGGCCGTTTCCCCAAAGCAACGCCACCCCACAGCTCAGAGCGGCCATCCTGTGCACCTGTAAATGTCCCGCGGCCCCCTCCAACCAGCGCATGGCTGACCCGCAGCACTCTTGGGAGAGTCCTCTCCACATGCCCTCACTGGCTGCCCCTCTCCACACTTGAAATCCCGGCCTCCCCAGGCCTGCAGGAGCCCGGGCTGGCTGGTTTGGGATTAGGGAACCGGCAGCCTGCCCTCCCCACTCTGGCTCAGATAACTCTTTGGGGAATCTGTGGTCTTGACAAGCAGGAACCACTGCTTCAAAGAACAAGCTGGGCCCCGACCCCTGTGGGGAGTGCCAGCTCCTACCCCAGGCAGGGAGGGCCACCTGAAAATGGCAGGAAAAGTCACTTTGTCATTGTAGCTGCCAGGAAAAGCCAGCACCCAGGGGACCCGGCATTCTGTGGCTCTTATTTAAATTCTGCGAGTGGGGAGTCGGGGCTGTGGCTGGATCTTGGCAGCAGCTCAGATAAATGAGAAGGGAAAATGGCCAGGCTGACTGCTTCCTCATCCTCTGCAGAAGGCTTGGGGGGGCCACGGGAGCAGAATTCCTGTAAACTGAGGCTTGGGAAGGAAGGGCCACTGCAGCAGGGCGCCGTCATTCAGAAGAGCTCCGGGCGTGTGGCACTGCAGAGTGGAGTGGGACCTCATCGCGATCTGTGTCTGCACCCTGGTAAATTATCGTTCACTCACACGCTACATCCGTGTTCTACTCCACGGACGTGCTGTGTAAGTTACAGAGGGCATGCGGCCGCAGAAATAGAAATGTCTACGTGGAAATACAGATAGAGGCTTGCGCTGGCTCCATGGCCTGTGGTTAACGTCACCAGAACCCATCTGGCTGACCCTACAGTTTGTCTCAGACCTTGTGGCTTGAGAAACCCCCTGGGCACAGGTATGTGCGTGTGCCCCAAATCCTGAAAGGGCAGAGAGACGGTGAGGAGACTGCAGCATGACCTGCCCCACGGAGGACACTTTCTCGCTTTTCCTCTCTCTCTGTTTCTCTGTCTCTCTCTGGTAAGCATACATACCCTCTGGTGAAATAATAAGGGCTCCCATGTGAGAGGCTGAGCAAGGACAGTGGGCAGGGGTAGGGAGTGGGGGCCAGAGCTGCTCAGAGCTGAGCAGCTAGTTAGAGGCCTAGCCCTGAGTTCGCCCAGGGACTTGTCGGATTTTCTGGACATGCTCTTGAGGCTGGTCACTGCAGACGTGCTTCCTGGCCCGCAGGTACAAGGGGAGCTTCTGGCAGAGTCGGGTCCAGCTGCGTGCCAGCAGACGACGCAGGCCCCCCTTGGTGCCGAGAAGACGCTGCCCTGCTCCCCGCCTCGAGGGGTTGGACCCACGCCGGACGCCC